CACTGACCTTTGGCCTGGTGTGCATATCTCTGTGGCGTTGAACTTTGACCCATCTGTCAGGTCTGAACACAAAGAAACACGGTTGTCAGTGGATGTTTATTGACCTTAGAGTACCACATTAAAGAAAAACTGCAGACTCCAAATTTATTAGTTTGTGGATTTATTATTACACCTTAGCTGTTAAAGTCTTAAGATATTGGAGTGTTATTAGCACAGAGGTCATTTTTAGAGCTAGTATATTGAAATCTGGGGGAAAAAATCAACAGTTAACATATTATTAGAGATAATTGCTTAGACATAAAAAAAAATAGTGTTTTAAAGTGAAAACAAATCTGTCATAGTAAAAGCAATTACATATACAGTATATTGGTTCCTGATGGCTTTGTATTGGTTTGTAATGGTATTCTGGAAATTTCAAATGAGTCGATATCACAGTGCAAAGGGTCCAAATGGTATAGCTGATCTGTGACTAATTTGGCACATTTGATGGTTTTCTAATGGGATTCAAATGTATCTAAAAAGAGTCTAGTGGTCTCTAACAGTGAAGCTGTAGCAAAACGTTGTAGCTTAAACATGATTCAGTGGACCTAATGTGATATTCTTCTGTCATATTTGTCAGTAATTATGCTGCACTTTAGTCTGTATGCAAGGAAACCGGAAAGTAATTATAAGAAGCATCCATATTTACATAGTATACAATTTCTGTAACATATGGAAAACTGGGTCATGGGATATGGTTATCATACTGTGAACGTTTCATACTATTTCAGAATTAAATCATTATTTTCCACTAATCATAGTGGAAAATATAACATTGTGGTCATTCTTTGCAGCGGCGTCAAAAATGTTGCTGTCAAAGAAAACAAACACTTGCAATTATCCCAACAAAACACTTTAGAGAGGAAATTCCAAGGAATCAGTGAAGCTAAGCATAACAACATTACTGAACAAAACTGTTTACCGAGATCGTTGCACAAAGCTAATGACAGGAAGTTTTGGGGATGATGTTGGAGTTCTGACATCCTGAGCTCATCTCTCATTTCCACGATGTGCCTGCAGTTTGGATGGAAGACAAAGCGCCAGTGTATGCCCACACTTTTCATGTTCCACTGCAGAGATCTTTAGGTGGGCAACTTTGTATTTCAGGAATCTGAGCACAATACTGCACAATGATGTCATGGTAGAGGTGCAAAACATGAATCATTGTGCTGGTTCGCATTCATGCTAGAATCAAATAGCAGGATACTAATTTGTAATAGTGCCATCTGAAGATAAAGATTCTTTAATGCCGACTGAGCAGTGTAGTGCTGACATTTGCACTGTCAGCATAAATGTATAAGGTCATTTTTATCAATATATGCAATAACTTGCAAATCTCTGCATACTGAATGACTATTTTGCAAGTAAAGCTGTTGGAACAGTTGAATGTGTTGTGTATATTAGGTGTGTAATGCAATGACACTATCTGTATCTGTTTAGTGTTCTAATCATATTAGAGTACTAAACTGTAATACCTGTATTCTAATTTAAATCATAAGTGGGCATGGTCTAAACCAGAAAAGTTTTTTTTTAATAAACCCTACCACAATACCCTCAGAAAAACAAGATTACAGTATATCCCTTGAATATATGATTTTATGTTATATACACTATTTGAGATTACTCATAAGAGTAAACATTCCAAGGTCGCCAAAACTTGCTAAGAGTACCTTTCGCTACACATCTGTACTTGTCACATTTGATAAATAACGTCTCTGAGCGACTGCTCTCCAAATTCTTTTACCCCTTAACCCCTTAAACTCCCAGGATCCATCTGCAGGTCCAGACCTTCATTCTTAACTGTCATAAATACATACTTCTTCTTTTAGCTTCACTGTAGCTACTAAAAATATGCTTTAAAATGAATAACTAAATAATAATTTGGGACTTTATTCACATTTTACTATTATTGTGAGGACATTATATACACTAAAAGAGGGCAGACCACAGTATGTACACACTTGTTTTGCATTTGGGAAGAACTGATGGACTTGTCTTGTTGTTCTTTTGTATATAATTCACTTTGAACTTGGAATTTCAGCTCTAGTCTGACCTGACTGTATAATATTTATAAGTAAATCTCATACATATATTTATACATATTTTGCCACAGTATTTATTATGTGGTTTTGTATAGAGCATGGTAGTGGGTGTTATGGCTATTTTATATTATTTAGGAATTTTTGTTGGGTTTGGATTTACTGCTGCTTGCCTATGAAACACTGAAAATCATGTTTACATATTATTCATAAACTCTAGTGCCTTTTTTCCTCTTCTACTCACAGCCAGTTTTTTTTAAATTATTAATATTTATAATACTAATAAGATCCCTGATGTTCATAAATATTTACTAGTTGACACATGTAAGCTTTCAAATGCAGCTGCTGCTTCTCAACCCAATTTTTAACCTGAGTGTAATGCAGAATATGAAGTAAAGGAGGAGTAAAATATTCATTCGCAGGGCAGTAAGTGTTTTCAGAGTGATCAGTTTATACTACAGTTTATCATCAATAGCCTAGCAGGAATTGTACACTTCTCAAGGCTATTTTCATTCATGTTGTTGTAGTGTTGAGTTTCCTAGCTAGCAATAAGTGACTACAATCGCACTTAACCTTTAACTGATGTGACTCACTTGCATTGTTTATTAACTGCATCCATGGTCCAGCTACAGTGATGTATGCAAATGCATCTATTGTGTGACAAAGAAAACTCATTTTGAACATCTTAAAAAAAAAAAAAAAAAATTGATAATAGAATTTTAACAGGATTATTGTCACTGCTGAAATGAAGAAACCACAGGTTTTTTGTCAGCATTGCTTTAACTCTTTATAGTCTAAAACCAACCAATTTTCACAGTATAGCCTCTTTAAAAGCATGGTTTGCATGGAAAGAGTCAATCTGGTTACCATGTAAAAGTTGCAGTCATAACAAATATTAGCAGGCTATGTCCAAAGCAACAGGCTACTATACTAAATAGTATGTATACCATAGTGTTAGTATGCATACTAGGTTATATACATCCAGTATTCTGATATACTATGTAGTAGTCTGCTAGTTCGTGAATGAAACTGCTTTTTGAAAAGTTCCTGCTGTTTACTGTTTACTAGGTAGCTATAGCTTATACATTAGAGGGTCGGAGTACTCATTTTTCTGCCAGTTTGGGACAATTAATGAATATTAATAATTCATGCAGTACTATTTTCATTTATTTGTTTATTTTTTTGTCCAGGCGGCACAGTGGCACAGCAGGTATTGTTACCATTTCACAGTTTTGCATGTTCTTGTGTCTCTGTGGGTTTCCTCCAGGTTCATGGGTTTCCTCCCACCTCCCACAAACATGCCATTAGGTTGACTGGCTAAGCTAAATTGTCCCTAGGTGTGAATAAGTGTGTGAAGGTGTATGTGTATGGTGCCCTGCAAAGCACTGGCATCCCATCCAGGGTGTATCCCTGCCTTGCACCCAGTGTTTTCCTGAGCTAGGCTCCGGATCCACTGTGACCCTGCCTGGGATACAGCAGTTACTGAAGACGAATGAATTATGAACACTATACAAAAGATTACAGTCAAAGTAGTTCATTATTTTTGCTATGACTAGGAAGTTACCCTAATTAAACCAAGCCAAAGCACTCAAAATCTCACACATCCTGAGTTTTCCAAATATAAAAATGTCTCCATGTGACCAACTACATCACGGATATAAGTGACGTATACACACAAACGTCAAAAGTGTTGAATTTTTCATCACCAAGCCCTATACTGTCCACAGTAAACTCTTCAGCCAAGTTTACTTGCCAAGTATTTTATCCATAAATGTAAGTATTAAAAATTAATCCCCTTTTTTCTCACTTTCAAAGAGATTTTGGGATCTATACTAAAACTTTGTCCACCTCTGGTAAAAAAAAAAAAAAAAAAAAAAAAAAAGCTACTAAAACTCTGAATGTATGCTCACATTTTGGTGTTTTTGTATAATTTTGGTTCTTTATTTATTTATATTTTGAAGGGAGGGGTGCTGTATATAAGTGATTTATGTACCAGTTTTCCTTAATTTCTCTCTGTTTTGCTTTGGCACTTTATTATGTTTGGCTATGAATGAACCCTTGGCTATTACCCCTTGGCATATGTTCTGTTCCCTTGTTTTGTATACAATTGCTGATTAATTAAAAAAAAAAAAAAAAACTCTTCAACCATAAACAGTTAAAAATGATTGAAGAGTAAAGTTGTTTTTTTTTAATGTAACCCTTTGTATTTATATTTAATCTGCAGTTTCTTATCTGGATGTCTTGTTATGTTATGTTTGTTCTGTACATGTGAAAATATATATGTATGCAACTTGCCTGGTTTAATCCCTGGGTTTGAGGCTATTATGTGGATTGGGACGCGACCTCAGAGTTGCTTCATATGTCAAAAGGTGCCGCAGGCTGGTGGGCGGGGCTTTCGTGCGCGAGGCTGCCCTTTCCAAACGTCCCCGCCCCCTTCACGCATTAGGACTGATGCAGACCAGCTCAAGTCCCTGACACTTCCCTGAACATTTCGTCAGAAACGAACATCAGTCCACGAATGCCTGTGGATCTGTAGGCTAGACTGGGTAGTTAGGCTTTGTTGAAATTCAAGAAAGAAGAAAACAAGCTTCAGGATGCAAGCGATCAACTTGGACACGTTCAGCCTGTCGCTGCTGACCGCCAAAGAGGACATCCTGAACGGCCGCGCATCCACAGACTGGTACAGTGTGATCGTGTTCCTCATCCCCACCCTCAGGCCAGCCTACTGCAGTTATATGTCAAAAACACCGAGTTGGACAGTTCAGCATGTAGTTTTTGAACATGGCGTTACTTGTTTGCAAGATCCTGCGCAGTTACTTTTCTTCTTCTTCTTCATGTCTTCCTGCGCAGTAACACTTTGGTGAAGAGAGTGTGTGAGAGTAGGAAGAGAGAAAAAAAGTTGATTGTTTTTTTTTTAGAAAATGCTTGCAGGCTTAGTGGTTAGCGCTGTTGCCTCGCGCTTCAAGGGTTGCGGGTTCGAATCCCGCATCAGCTCTGTGCGTGTGGCGTGTGCGTGTTCTCCCTGTGCAGCGGGGGTTTCCTGCGGGTGCTCCAGTTTCCTCCCCCACTCATACATACATTCACTGTAGGCTGGGGGGCATTTCCCAGTTGCCTGGAATGGTTGTGTGATGGCTTGGCACCCCACCTTGTGCCCCAAGTAGGAAGAGAGAGTAGCAATGAGTGCCCCGGAGAGGCTCCTGCTGACCCTGTGTAGGATAAACAGTGCAGAAAATGGATGGATGGGTTTTGAGCAAAATGCCTTAAAAATGGAAACAACACGGACAGCTTGGCTAGACATGTAAATGTCCAGTCCTGTGGTTTAGATAGTATAGTCTGGATGCGGTCAGTCAGCTTGGACTTTATTTACTGCATGATTTCTAGAAATGTTCCTTGTAATGTATGTAGAAATGTAGTTTGCATAGCACATGTTATTGCAGTGTTACATTTTAACTTCTATTCCAGCTCCTAGAACTCCTAAACACACTTTAGCTGAGCTTGGATAACACAAAACAATTCTGGACTGACTCTCTGTCCCTGAGGACTGGGCTGGGAAAAGATTGGAGCATTAGAGGCTCCAGCTACAGGAAATATTTATTGCCATATAAATCACATTCTTGTTTCTTTCTGTGAGTGGTTTAAACAAGAGAAATAGTCCATGTGTTTGTGTGTGTGTGTGCATGTGTGCGTGCGTGTGCGTGTGTGTATGCGTGAGTGTGTGCCTATATGCATGTCTAAACAGCACTGGAACACCTTGTCTTTGTGTGGTCATCCCGTGGTCTTCGTATTTGCATTGTTCTGCATGTTCAAGGGTAATAAGGCATTGCTACTAATTTAGTTGGTGCTGGCTTGTGTTTATGCTTGTCAGTGTAAATCTTGCACCTTGCCCTCTTTTATCTTTCATGTCTCCCGTCATTAATTCAGACCAGTTATTAACTTTCGTAGGCTGCTATCATACCTTATTACGTGTAAGCCCACAGCGTCACATGGATTAGAGTAAGAAGCTGGCCCACTGTACTGATATTTGTATTCTTGCACTCAAATTATGTTTTATAATTAAGGTCAAAACAAAATGCTTTAGTTACTGTTGCGTACAGAAGGTGTGTACAGATATTTTTTAAAATCAAGGCTGTAAGGGGGACAAATGTAGAATCATGGGCCATAGGCTATCTGTGGTACTGAAATCCAAATCTTTTCAAGGGAAAATAGCTAATGCATGCTCAAAAATCACTAGAAGTCACCAGGGGATGTAATAGACTGATTTGCTTATTCACTGAATTGTTGTGGTTATTTGCATATCAAAATGTGATAATGAAGAAGGATTTTCAGAAGACACAGAGTAGAATGTGCTATCAGAATAGAAAATAATAAAGTATAAGTTATTTCTTATAGAAAGAAGTTGTTTTTGGTCATGGCACCACAAACTAACTGTCTACTTAGTTACAAAATACTATCAAGAATGTAGACAAAAAGAAGCAGTGCTAGTCAGGAAATAGACAGAAAGGAAACGTTACAAGTGGAATAACTAATTTTTATTACTTAAATAAATATAGCAAATAAGATTGCTTAAAACAAAGAAGTGCATGGGTGGGACAGACAATGGTGATCGGTGATTGGTCATTGAGAAACAATGGTGATCAGTGATTGGTAAATATGAAACAATGGTGATTAGTGATTGGTAGTTGTTAAACAATAGTGATCAGTGATTGGTCATTGAGAAACAATGGTGATCAGTGATTGGTCATTGAGAAACAATGGTGATCAGTGATTGGTCATTGAGAAACAATGGTGATCAGTGATTGGTCATTGAGAAACAATGGTGATTAGTGATTGTTCATTGGGATCATAGGCTAGTGCAAGCGCAACTCAGTCACTGATGGTGAGTTGACCAACCCTGCTCTCTCAACTCGTATAACCAGCATCTGTGGTGTGAACTGGAGAGCCGTATCAAAATAAAGTTGCTAAAGAGGTCTAAAGGATTTCCAGATTTAGCAACAAAATCAACAAGCACAAGCGACAAAATGCAGAAGTTACAGCATGTCTGTAGGCTCATACGTGGACCTAAAGACACTCTCATACGGTTCTGAGTAGGCATAAATTTATGAGTGCGCTATAAATATCTCATCAGGTTATTGTTTCATGTTAGCAGTGAAGATTATAAACATTTATAAATCTAACTTAAAGTCTACTCAGAAATCCATATTGGCTGTAGCTAGTAGCTAGCAGTAACACTGAAGATTATGACCATTTATGAATTTAACTCGAAACTCATTTGTTAAACATTTGTGAATATAACTTAATACCTTCTCAGAAATCCTATCAGATTACTTCATGTAAATTAGTAGTAGCTGGAGTTGATGGAAGTGATGGTTATGAACATTTATAAATATCTTTATAAACATTTATAAAAATCTTCTCAGAAATCTTGTCAGGTTTTTACGTGTCAGCTAGCTGGTTAGTGTTAGTGATGAATAAATGCACATGACTTGCACAGTTTACAGTCATATTAATTAAAAAGATGTGGACATTTTGTTTTCATCTTGATTTTACTTTTTTTTTATTTATTTATTTTTTTTTTTCTGAACACATTTAAATCAGTAATTAGTGGTGTGTTACCTGGCTAAAGACACCGTAAAAAGTTATGTCAGTTAATCACAGGAAGTTGTGTAAAGGATAAGCTGAATCGGCTTATTACATGACCATAGTGTGGAGATTTATTAATCATCACCTGGATGGAATGCCA